ACGGCCCCGGAGAGAGGGCTGATAAATCTGAGTTATTGCAGAGAAGCTGGGAATGTCAGAGCGAGTGGGACAGGCTCCGATTGCTGAAAAACACTACTGCAAATCCAATATTCCCCTGCTGTAATAAAATCTGTAGATGTAACTCGGTCTGTAGGCTCGGGGCTGATTTGGGGTGAGAGTAATCTCTATGACCCAGGGAAGCCTCTCCCCCCGTCACCAGCCAGATTTGGGGGCTGGAGGCTCAGCTCTGCCACCCCTGAGCTATTAATGTGGTATAATATTTCTGCAGGCAGAGGAAGAGGAGGAGGAAGGTATCCTGCAGCATCCTCTCTGCTGCTTGGGGATGCCAGGAGCAGCTGGTGGAGAAATCCTCCCCCCACAATAGTTCTTCCACTGGAAAATGCTGATCCAACTCTCTATCAATATGTTTTAACCAGCACCTTCTTTTAGGGAGGCAGCAGTATCAAAATGGAGGATTTTAATGTCTTCCAGTTTCTCCCTTTGGAAGGTGTTTCCGAATATGCCACCATTTTAATATTTTTGGTTTTCTTTCAAGGAGACTTTTTTTCCACTTTAATTGCTTTAATTGCTTTCATTTTATGCCCCATTATAAATCCAAGCATAATATTAAATACATTGAAATCCAATCGAAATTTCAATTTTCTATATATATTAAAAAGCCATTTAACCGAGCCAAGGCTACTTTGGAAGGGAGAAGATTTAATTTCAGGGGAGACATCAGCATTCAACATTATGTTCCCATTTGGAAAAGGAGGCTCATTTAAGTAGCCAAGCTCTCTCTGCTAAGTGGAGCTCTGGGTCCCTAATAGTTTGAAGACACTGGCGATGAGCAGTTTGGTGACAAGAGGGTCCAAAAAGGTTGGGGAAAGGCCAAGAAATGGAAGGAGACCTGTAGGACCATGATCATCTTGAGCAAAGTCCTTCTTTTTCCAGGTGTCACCATCACGGCCCAAGTACTCCCTGGCTTCCCCTCCAAATGCCTGTTGTCCTTCTTTTTTGCAAAGCCCACAGAGATGTGGCAAAAGCAGCTCCTGTGAAAGTGAAAACAGAGTTTCACATGTCCCCGATGTCCCTGGTGCTCAATGCAACCACATAAATGACCTGCATCTGGGACGGGGAAGAGGAACCACATTCCTGGACTGCAACCATCATTGGTGTTTTTGATTTTCTTTCCTAATTAAGGCCACAGGGAAACATAAAGCCAACAAATTGGCAGAAAAATCAGCAACCTCCAGCGCTAAGGAGAGGGCTCTGGCTGGGGGCAGTGGGGACAGTGTCCTGAACCACACAGGGAGCCAAAGAATCACCTTTTATTTTTAAACCAACCCATTGCTCTGCCTGTAAGGCCAGCCCTGACTTCTCCAGTGCAAACCCTTCCCTGGGACATGCTTCTGGGAGGGCTCAGGTGGGGCTGTGGAAGCAGAGGGGCTCACCCAGGTGAGGGGACCCCTCTCCATCTCTTCTCCCTCCCCAAATAAACCAATTTTCCAAGTATTTCAGGGCTGGGATCCCTCACCCTGAGGAGTGCAGCATGGATTAGAGACACAAGAGGGCAGGCGCAGGCTGTGCAAACCAGAGAGGGATCTGGCTCCTTGTCCCTCAGCCACTCTGGCCCTGCTGTCCCCCTGTCACCACTCCATCCCTGGAAGGCAGGGGGAAAAGGGGCTTTCCCAAGGGACATGTCTTCTGGCCCTGCCTGGCTCCTTGGCACTTGTTTCTGAAGGAGATTTGAAGCAGCAAGGTCTGTGAGGGACATTCAGGACCTGAAGGTGGGCTACGAGCTCCCAAAGCAGGTACTTCACCCCCCAGGGATGTCATGCTCTGCCCTGGCTGTCCCCAAAGAGTGGGAGTACAGGTCTCCTTAGCTGGGCTCTGCCATCCTGGGGACTTCTATGGGACTGGTCAGGTTGCTTGGTCCTTACCATGCACATCCATCTGCAGGGAGACCATTTACATGGGTGGCCAGAGGTGCCAACAGCCCTTACCACCCCTACAACCCATCTCCCCCATCCTTGCTGGTGTCACCCCATAGTGTAGCCCCAGGCACAACCAGAGCTCCTTTCTTCTGCTCTCAGGACACCCTGGTCGACACCAGCTCTGGGGCACAACCTGAGCCACAGGCACTTGGTGGAGAGCATTTGTCCCCCTGGTTTGTCCCCAGCCCCACAAGCAGCGAAGTGGAGCCTGGTGACCTGGTGCCAGGCAGCACTGCTGGGCACGGCGCTTCTTCCTCCAGACTGCAGCCAAAGCTTTCTACATAGTTAAATAATAAAAGGCAGCAGATGGTATATGGTATGAATTACAGAAAACAGGATTGTAAAGGCAGCGCGCACGGCGAACAAATGAAAGCATTAATGCACCAGGCCAGATAATGCAGACAGGGAGGAAGAGGAGGGAGATTCGCAGATGGGTTGGTCATGGGTGGGAAAGGGAGCTCATTCCCTTACAGGGAATTTTTAGTGGGAGAATGGTCTCGTCCCTGTCCGTGGGGAGATGATGAGGACAAAGTCAGACAGGCAGCGAGGTCTGGAGCCCAGGACCAAGGGTCTTGTGTCCCCTCTGTCCTCAGCAGCTCTAATTCTGGTTCACACATTGCTTGGGTCCACTCAGCACTGTCTTCTCCACCCTTCCTGGAGAGGGCATGATGGATGCAGGGGTTCATAAGGCCCCACTTTGGCTGAATTTCTGCTTAATAAAGAAGGGGCACAGCTCTGTTCAGCCATATGTGGCCTTGCATTGAGAGCCTGGCTTCCAGTCATGGGCAGAGACAGAGGAGGAGGGACCATGTTTTGCATTTCAGGGCTGATGAGGAATTGTCCAATGAGGAAACCAGCCTCACGTGGCATCTTCTGCTCCTTCTGCATCCTGTCAGTCCATCAGGACCGGCTGTGGTCTCAGCACAGTCCTGGAGCCTTCTGGCTACGGAAGGAGGTTCAGCTTTAGGGCAGCAGCCCTGAAAGACTACTCATAAATCCAGCTCCTGGCTATGCTGCAAGCTTCCTGGGTGACTGCTCACGAGACTTTTGTCCTCTCTTTGCCTCAGTTTCCCTGGTGTAAAATGGAGAGTAGGGTTGTGCTGCCATATAGTGGTTCTGGGATGAGTAGCTCAGCCTGAGAGGTTCTCCCAAAGGGTGATCTATGCTGGGGGGTGCCACAGCTGGGCTTGCCTTTGGCTGCCAGGGTCAAATGTGGCTTTGGAGGTAGGAAAAGCTGAAACTATCTTATCTCTGGGTGAAAATCATCAGGGGGAGGACAGGGTGGCTCATGGCCAGGGGACAAGGAACTCGGGGGTCTGTCAGTGAAGGTGAAGCACCTGAAGTGCTGAAGGGGCCAAACAAAACAAAGCGCAAAGGCTCTTTCAGGGTCTGCTCTCATGATAACAGCAGTTGGGGTTATAAATTCAAAACCTGGGCTCATTTTGTGCCAGATAATCTTTGAGTTTGTCTTTAAGGTAACTTCATGGGTGGCTGAGAGTCAGCAGACATTGTCCCACAGGCTGTGACAGGCTCTGTCTGTGCTTTGACCCCCTGCTCCCACCTCATCCAAGCTGGGAAATTCTCCTCCTGGATGCTTCTGTTGCCACAGGGACCTTCACCTACCATAGCTGTGCAGAGACAGAAACCGATTTTTTAATGCTGGATCTGACCAAAAGCAGGGAAAAATACTGCTGTGCATGAGGCAATATGGAGGGGAGTTACTCCAGACCCTGCTCAGCACCTTTGGGCTGAACCCCACTCATTCCCACCTCCTGCAGCATGCACTGAGGATCCTCTCTGTATGGAGGCATCGTTACAGGATTTTGCAGCATCTCTTGGGTAGGAAATCTTTCCCAGTTTGCCTCCCCCCTCTCCCACCTCCTTCTCCTCCCAACCTCCCCCCTCCCCCAGCTGAATGCACATCTGGGAGCATCTTCCCCAAACACATCCATCACAGCTGCCTTTCAGCGGCAAACAAAACATCTGGGGATCCTGCTGGCTGAAAGTCTTCCGAGTCCTTGGTGGGCTGAGCCTGGGGGCTACCAGAGCTGCTCAGCACAGCCCCCCCAGACCCCAACAAGGCACGGCCACTTGTGAACTCACCCCCCAGGCAGGAGCTGGGGGTCTGTGATGACAATCCCCTCTCCCTGCCCTCCCCAAGGCTGTCGCCCTGCTGCGGGGCTCCGGATCGATGGGTGACTCACGGCTCTCTCCCTGCCGAGAGTCCTGAAGTGAAGGGATGCTCTGAGACAGAGCGAGGAGAGATGAGAGATGCTGCAGCCCCTCTCCTCCTGCTGCCTCTCCCCACCGACTCCTGCCCTGTCTGATTTTTCGCTCTGAGCTGCTGTGACAGAGGAGAGGCTTCATGCGATTGCTTTCTCCCCTGCTCGGTCTGCGTGTGTGTATGTGCATGGAGCCGAGCAGCAATTTCCCCCCTTTTCTTTATTTTTTTTAGCTTTTCCCTCCCCCTTTTCCTCTCATACTTCTCCTGCTGAATTAACTGCGCACCTTGCCCTGGCAAAAAACCCTTGGAAATAACACTGGCAGCACAGGGTGGCTTTTTTTGGAGGGGTATTTCTTGAAGCCCTGCCCAAAATGGAGGGGTGGGGAGGAAGAGAGATGCCTGAATCCAGCAGCTCGCATCCCCGGAGCAGAGGGAGCATCACCCGGTGGGTCTGAAAGCCCCGCTGCTCTGCAAGACGTCGGCTCCGGGAAGCAGCATCCTTGGGCTTTACGCACTAGTTAACAGGCTGCGAGCTGCCTCCACTTGTTTTAAGCTCTCTCTCTCGCTTCATCTCATCTCCCTTCGGCGCGTGTGTGTGTGTGCATGTGTGTGTGTGTGTAGGGGGAGGACTTTATTTCCATTGGCTCAGCTTTCGCTGCCCACCCACCTCTCTTCCACATCACCTTGGTGTCTCCCTAAATAAAACCAGCCCTTCTTATCGCACCGAGGAAATCAAGAGCGAGAGTTTGAATGGATTTTATATAAATATTTGCCCCTACGAAGGTGCTGCTGAGCTCGTGGGATAAACTCGTAGCTGCTGGCCTGAATCTCTCCTTCTCTCTCCCACCCCTAAAAGGGTTTAATTACTTTCGAGAGGGGAGGGGAGAGATCTGGATACCAGTTCCAGGTACGGACTGACCCAAAAAGCAGTGCCAGGATTTAACTAACTGTCCCTGATGGATCTGAAGGACAGCACCAGCGAGGGCAGCATGGGCAGCCTGCAGCCTTCAAGCATCCAGATTTTTGCCAACACCTCCACGCTCCACGGGATCCGCCACGTCTTCGTCTACGGGCCAGTGACCATCCGTCGCCTGCTCTGGACCTTGGCCTTTGTGGGCTCGCTGGGTCTCCTGCTGGTTGAGAGTTCAGACCGGGTGGCTTTCTACTTCTCCTACCAGCACGTGACCAAAGTGGATGAGGTGGTGGCAAACAGCCTGGTCTTCCCTGCTGTCACCATCTGTAACCTCAACGAGTTTCGCTTTTCCCGGCTCACCACCAACGACCTGTACCACGCTGGGGAGCTCCTGGCTCTGCTTGATGTCAACCTGCAGATCCCCAACCCTCACCTGGCTGACCCGGCTGTCTTAGCCATCCTCCAAGAGAAGACCAACTTTAAGCAGTATAAACCGAAAGTTTTTAACATGCAGGAGTTCCTGGCGCGGGTTGGCCACGACCTGAAGGATATGATGCTGTACTGCAAATTCAAAGGCCAAGAGTGCAACCATGAGGACTTCAAAACTGTGAGTATGAGCAGGAACTCTGCTTTCCTCTTCTCTGGGTGTGCGGACGGTGGTGGTGTTGCAGGACCAGGAGAGCATTGGAGGTCACTGGCCAAGACGTGTGGGCACGGTGTGATGAGTGAACGGTGCCTGCCGGGCTCTGGCAGGGCAGAGGAGGAGGAGGCAGCCTGTTGAGTTGAAGTTCGTTTGCTGGAGGGGGGATTATGTGGGGCCAGCCCTGCAAGGGGCTTGCAGCAGGTCCAGCCTCCACCCTGCATGAGGCCCATGGCTCCCCGCTTGATGTCAGACCAGACGGGTCCTGCTGAGCATCAGAGGGGGCTTGGGAGTCTCTTGCTGTGGCCAGCAAATGTTAGCCAGCTGCAGAAAGTAGAGAGGGCTGGAAAGAGGCCAGCAAGAAAGGCAAGCGTTCGGGGGACGGTCTGAGTGATGTCCATTAGTCAGTTGTGTTTCCCCGGGTGTTTGTAGCTTTGCTGAAATCTTGGAAGGGGCAGTTTTTCTGCTTGTTCCTGGTGGTCATGGCTTACAAATCCTAGTTTGCTGTGCAGTGTGGGCAGGAGCTGGGTCCCTTCCTGGTGCTGTGTTAGAGAGAAGAGGAAAAATAGAAGAGGAAAAGAAATCAAGCTCTGCTCTGAGCCCAGTCTGCTCTTGGGCTGACGGGGAGGTGGAGTGAGCCGGGCAGCCTGAGGATCCTGAGGGAAGCAGACGCTGCTCAATTTACAGCTTCTGGATGACACCCTGATGGCAGTGCAGGCTGGCCTGGGTAGTTTGGCTGACAAAAACTATCAGCTTAAAATAGAAATAAAGAGTAGGTTGCCTGGAAGCAGTGATGCCCCCAGTGTGCTCCTGGGGCAGGTGAGGGGGCTGGGCGAGGGGGTGCAGAGGGGTCTGCTCCCCCCCAGGCTGGAGGTCTGAGCCCTGTCCTGGCAGAGATGTGCGAGTGCAGGCTGGGGACTGGGCTAAGTTGTACTTTGCTCTCAAATCACTCTGGCCAGTACCTTCGCACTGACTCAGCCCGTTGGGGGGTTTGGGTGATCCCAGGGTCGGTACCGCTACAGCTTTTGGCTGCTTGTTCCTCTGGGAGCGATGCTGGTTGTTGTGCTCACTGCTCACCGTCCTGCAGACAGGCAGGTGCCACGGCAGGTTTTGAGATGGTCTGGTTTGTCGGCAGGATTTTTGTCTGTTGTTAGGAGAAGGGGATATTTTCTGTCTCTGCTGCTTTTGGATCTCCCAGGGAATGAGTCCAACTGACTCGTGCTACAAAGTCATTGCCACCACCTGGACTGTGCTCTCTTTAAACGTCTGAGCAGGAACATATAATTTTATGCCTCAGTTATTGCCTGTGCATAACCCTGATGCCTTCCCCGTTTCAAACTGGGTATCCAGGCAAACTGCTCCTTTGCTCCTGCTTGTTGGGGAGAGGTTGGACCATGCGAATCATAGGAAGGTATCAAGAAAGTCCCTAGGAGAAGTGCTTGCTAAGTAAAAGCCATGTGTGACTAAGTCTGGAGAATGGGATAGAAAAAAAAACAACCAACCAGATGCAAACGTCCAGGGGACAGAAGAGTTGGGGAGTGAGAACAAATCCCAACAGCAGAGACAGCCCTCCCCTAACCATAGTGAGGGTGTGGGAAGAGGGAAGTGTTCTGCCCATGTATTCTGCAAGAAAACAGCACATTCAAAACATCTGCAGGACTTTAAAAAGCAGGTCTTGTTCTCAGATAAGACGGGAGCTTTTTGCAGCCTCCCTGGGACATGGTGGGGTGTCATCTCTCTCCCCATTTAGTTTTTTGAGGTAGCTGCTTCTGAAACAATGATTTTATTTTTTTTTTTTTCCCCACAAGGAATACAGTAGTTTCCAGAAAGACTAAACGTTCCCTGTCTGCTGAATAAATCCTTGCTCTGCTAAAGCAGGTTAGGGCCAGCTAGAAACAGATAGGATATTACAGACTGACAGTGCTTGTCCTTGTCAAAGTACTGTAGAGATTCAGAAACAGGGCAGTGAGGTACTTCAGTCTATTTGGCAAAGCAGCTCCTAGATGATCCAGATGACAACATCTTCCCAGCATTGTTGTTCCTTCCTAACAGAGGCAGGTGTTTCAGTCCTCAGGTTATGGAAATTTGGGGAGCAGCAGTTGACAGGGATACAACAACCCTCTTTTCCTTCCAGACTTCACCTCTCAGTGATAAAAGGCAGCAAAAAGTGTCTGCTTGAAAGCTGAGTAGGTCTTTCCACAGGGAGCATGCTGCAAAGGTCTTTGAACTGCCTCCGGGCTGAATCAGAACCTCATGTCCTGGATGAATTTTGCATTTAATCACCAAGGACCTGTTGCAGCCGCACACGGGCTCTGTGGCAGCCCATCCATTCTGCTGCAATACCAGCTGGAAAAAGAGGAGAAGCATCATCGCCGAAGCCTGATTTCTTTCCTGTCGGGAAGCAGAGGGTGTAAATCCCAGAACAGTTCTGTAATACGTCAGCATGGCAAAGAACTCTGTCTCCTTTTCTGTACTCCCCAAATTCATGCATCTGGGAGCAGAGGAGGCAGGAGCTTTGCAGGGGGAGGCTGCACCAAAGCAGCTACCTCTGCAGTAAGGTCCTGTTACAGAAGTGAGGGCAGTATTGCCAACAGGTCACCCATTTCTTTAGGTGTGAAGGGGTGTGTGGAATGTGCAGTGTGTCGCCTGAATAAAGCACACCCCTCTTTTGCTGTACGAGAAAGCAGGAGCTGGAATGGCAGTGTCCTGGCACTTTGTAAAACATGACTTTACCCTCCTTCCCCCTCCACCTCCCTGTTTCAATTCTCTGTCGCTGCTTTATTAACAGGATTTCAGCAGTGCTTCCCTTACTTTCCTTCTCCCCAGGATGATGTCTAATGCCTCTCAGACAACAGCTCCCTGTATTATGGTCTGCTCAGAGATGTGAGTGCCCTAAGCTTGTCTGCAGAGATACATCCAAAAGGAACAGCCAGGTCTTAGCAGAATATGTGCTGATTCCTGAGCTGGCATTGCAAACGCGCCGAGCAGCAGATAAGATAATGCAGACCTCTGCTGTAGGCAAAGCAATGAAGAATAGAAAATTGGCGGAACAGGCTTTAGCAAACCCATTCCCTTGGAGTTATTGGGAGGAGGGAAGCCTGATAACAGCAGCAGCCGAGGAAATCCCCTCCTTTTTTTTGTGTGTGCGTCGCTCCTCCCAGGAGGTCTCGATTGAAAATGACCTCGCAGATGGCATTTTTTTCTGGAGGAGCTGTGCTCATGCTGCTCGACGTGACATTAAGGTCTCTTCCCATCCTACTGCTGCTGAGCCTGGTAAAGCTGCGGCTCATCAGCCCCAGGCACACCGCTGTGGTTTTGTGGGTATCTCTGTGGGTGTGCTGGAGCAAAGCCTCTTTCCTGGGCTTGTTGGTGTGGCTCAAGGTCCTGAACTGTTCCAGCACGGGATGAAGTGAGCAGTGACAAGGGTGGCATGTAGGAATGTGCACGTGTGTGGCACAGCGAACGCGTGGGGCAAGAGGGAAGAAAAGTTTGTGCCACAGGGGAAAGGCAGAATGGCTGATGGGATGACCTTGGTGTAGATACCCAGGAGATGAGCTGCAGGGGCTGTCTTAATCCCACCTTGCTGAGAAAATCAGCCCCAGCAGCCAAGCCCTGGCAGACAGACTCAGGCCACAGCAGTGGGAGTGCTTTCTGGTGCGTGAGCGTGGTTTTCAGTCAGGTCATTTGCTAAATGGAATGTGTAGCGTGTGCTTCCTCGCACACCCAATTCATTTCAGAGGTAACACAATAACTTAGCCTGTGCCTGCTATGTCTTCGTTGCTGGATGTCGATTTATTTTCAGTGGCCATGACAATCGAGGGATATAACTCATTTATTTTCAGTACACATTCCTGCTGAAAGACAGTGTCCGCATAATGGAGAGTATCTCATGTGGATATTTCTATTCTGAGGCACAAGTTTCTGTCAATCTATCTGTCTTTCTGCATGCATATTTTTCTCCTATTCTTTCTAGTGCGCCCATGAGGCCAGTATTTACTAAAGAGCTTTTGGTTTATAGACTGATTAGTCCATTCTCATCTCCTGTTATACAACTTCCATGTTCTTCAATAAAAAAAAAAAAAAATCAGGATGGTGGCTGCCTGATTCAGGAAAACTTTGCTTCTTTCTATTTAACAATTTTTCTGAAAAATCATGACTTTTTCCAAAGTTTGTCCCAGATTCTGAGATGCCATAATGAGATCTGTAGTTCTGTGATACCTTTTACACAAATAGATAGTTCTGGCACTGAGAAGTGAGAGCTTTGTGTGGCCTTCCCAGTCTGCATTGTAAGACCTTGAGTTTGCATGTGCTGTTGTTGGGTTTCAGTGCATGGGCACAGGAGTGCGGGGTCATCGTGTCGCTGTTGGTGGTGTCTCTGTTGAGTGTCTACAATGAGATGGAGTGTTCTTGAGTCATGCACCTGGCTGGCATGCCAACTATGCCCTTGAGAAATGCAGACTCTCATTCTACCCAATGTTTGCCTGGACTAAGTTTCTCCGTCCCTTAAGCATTTAACTGTAAAATGAGCATGATAGTGCTTCCCCAGGGAGCTGATGGGACTCGTATTTCCTTTATTTATTACAAAATGATAGAATAATGCTTTAAAATTCACCAGAATGTTTCACAGGAGGGTGCCAGTTGGGATGAACATCTGTTCATGAAAAATCTTTCTGGGTCTTGAATTGTTTCTGGAGTTAAAGTCTAATGAAGAGAAGGCTGTAGAACCTTAGTGGGGTCTTTTCATGCCAAAGTCTTTAATACTGAAAGTATTCACACTGGTTGGACTTAAGGTTCTTTTCCAACAAAAATGATTCTGTGATTCTATGGGTGATACAACTCCCATAGGAGAGAAAATTCAGAAGTGTGGCTGTAGGACATTTACTTGGGATGTGGGTGATCCATGTTTGAGACATTGGTCTAACTCTTCCTTAATTTTCTTTTAAAAGGTCTGTGTTTTGTTCTGGTTT